TTTGCCAACTGCTCATTCTACAGGCTTCAAGTTTCTCCCTATCTCAAGTGGCAAAACTGGGTAGCTGAGGGCTGTCCAAAGAACTGGACACACCTGCGACCAACCATTTCTTTACTAGTGGTATCCTGACTTACAGCAAGTTTTGGCCTATCCTCTGGTCATCTGCCTTTGTTTAGAGTCTTTAATGCTACAGGAATGATACATCCAGCAAGACTATTCTCAAAGCAAGGGCAGAATAAGGATACGTTTAGACATGCCAAAGACAGTTTACTATCATCAGACGCCACTCAGAGGAACTTTTACAGATTATTGAGAAAGAAAATTTCCATAAGGAAGACAAGACATGCAAGAAGGAAAACTCAAAGGCTTTAGCAAACATGCACATAAAACCACACAATTATTAACCGGGCAATCATAATGCCGAATGTGTATATTTAACCGGACAACAGCGGACTATAATTAAGTATGAGACAGCAGGAATAATTATTCCAGGGCCTGCACATTGATTGAGAGGAAGGTAAAGTGAATGATTAGCTTCGGATAGTAAATTAAATGTTAGAATTTCAAGCATAAGCACCAAAGCAAAGATAAAATTAGGATACAGAGTCCCATCCTCTGCAAGAACATTGAAGACAGCATTAAGGACTTCACTTAATCCAAAGGAAAAGGGGTTGGGGGAGGAGAGGAAGTCACAGGATGCAGTAAGATAGCAGAATTAAATCTGTAATAATAATAAGCAATCTGTTTCTTAAGACTAAGAGTCAAAAGAACTACTGAAAAATTCAACAAGAAGAGACCAGCAAACAAGAAGGGCAGTGTAGTGTTTGCTGCCAAGCCTGACACCCCGAGTTTGAGATCTTAGGCCCACATCATGGAAGCAGAGCTGACTCCTGCAACCTCCACAGACAGGCCCGCACACATTACACACATGCATAAAAATAAATGTAATGTTTTTAAGACTAAAGTTAGATAATATACCATTTCATAAGAAACACACAAAACACAAGGTTATAGAAAAAATAATGGAGAATTTTGTATAATGAAAATCACCTGATACAACTGTTTAAATATCAGACAAAAAAATTACTAGAAACAGTGAGGTTATTATATGTTCCTAAAAAGATTCACTTCAGGAAAAAGATAGCAATTCAAAGTTTCTCATAAAACTCAAATTGACAGTAAGTAACAGGACTGGGTAGAACATTCCTCTACCATCTGCAAGTCCCTCACTATATTAAATCCCCAGTATCCCCAGTGCTGAGGAAAAATGGAATAAGTAAATAATAATAATAAACTGAAAAAATAATTTTCAAAATCTTTCCGAGTTAAAAGTGTTAGGACAATTTCTAAATATCTGATGTTAAAATTGGGACCACAGTGGTATTTAGAAGTCAGGCCAATGACAGAACTCAGAGGTACCATGCACAAGGCCCTGTGTTGGACCACCAGTACATCAATAAGAAAGAAAAATGGCACTGCACCATGGTTAACATGGTGTGATGCATGCTTGTACCAGGGCACTTGGGAGGTGCGGGCAAAGGGTCAGGTGTTCAGGACCAGCCTCAACAAAAATACCTTTTGCCAAGGTAGAGGCATAAGGATTTAGAAATATAATAAAGAATATGAAGACGCGAATGAAAATAATAAAACTATATTTTACATTTATAGTACTGGGAGGGAATTCCGTGAGTACTGAAAATTCGCCCAAATTTCCAATTGCTTTAAATACCCTTGACCCCAAAAGGTAGGAGTAAGACAAAAACTGCATTAACATGACACAAGGAAATGAACAGGTCTCAGGCTACAGCCACAGTTAAACATCCGGTTGCTAGAACAAACAAGTCACACCCACACCCCAGACCAAAACATTCTATAGGCAAACCCTCCCTGGGTGGAATCCAGTGTTATCTCCATAAAGGAACTGGACCCTCAGTAGAAACAATCTACTTCTCTATTCCAGAAATATAAGGTCTGACTATTAGCCACACCTATTGACAATAGCCTTGACAAAACTCTCTGCTCTAAATCTAGGTGGGACCTTGGTTTGAGGTAGAAACACTATAACCTTGGAAGAAAAGAGGTGAAGTCCAATTCTCTGACCTCTGGTCAAGGTGGGAATAGGCTCAAATTCCTTCTATGGATAGAGTCTTGTTTTGGAATGCGTTAATTTGAAACAATAATAAAATAAGGAGATAGGCTACTAAGCATTTTTGATGAAGCCAACATAAATTCTAAGTTAACCAAAATATTTGCAAACACTTATTTCCTCTCTAGCTGATTTATATGTGAAAAACTGTGTCCATCTTTTAAAGGTACAATTTCTTGTGATCCATTAGAGTCCTATTGACTGAGTGCTGATTCCGCAGTCTATCTCCTTTTCCAATCCCTGGCATAACCTACAAAAGGGAAACAAGACTGGCACTCTCCACACTAGAAACGGAAGACTATACAGTAACAGTATTTTGAAAAACTATTTTTAATAGATGCTAACTCTATTGATAAACAAATATGTTAAGTAAAAAAAAAATCAATGCCAGCATAACCAAGGAATTACACATCCACGGACTCTCTAAAGCCAAGTGTAAGTCTCTGGAATGCCTGGCAAACTATTAATGTAACATACAGGCATGCAACAGAAAACTAAGAGTCGCTGACAAGTTAGCCTGAGTTGACAGCCTACGACCGGCGGCTGTTCCTTCTCTCACACCTCAGAAAGCAAACGACAGCTTTCGCTGTGAAGACATGGGTCTCAGCTTCTACACAAGTAAGACAAAAATACTTGTGAAGACAACATTTAAATAGAAGTCTTCATAAATAGAACAACAAGCGGCGTTTCGTAGAATATCCTCATTTGCTTGACCGCTTCTGCCACGCTCGACTATTTCAAAGAATGTGTGTTAACTTGTCTCTTTACCTTTTGATTGGCCTTCATCAACATCTAATCATGATATTTTTAAATATCTAGTAAGATGAATAGGACCCCTGACATAATCGTAGGAATACAAAAGCACTTCATCTGATCAGATAGAACCAATCATTTATTTGCTTTCTGGTCCTGAAAACTGCTAAAGCAGTTTTTTTTTTTTTTTCTTTCATGAACTTCAGCAAACAGCACCAGTGCGTGGTTATTCAAATCATTAGTCTCAGCTCAGGGCTATGTGGTTTAGCAAGTAGCAAGCAGGACAGAATCCCAGTTAAAGTTGAATTTTAAATAAACAATAGTCTTAGTCTGTGCTAAGTTTTGAGTATAAACATATCCCCAAATCTACATGGGACATATGCCAAAAATGACCTGAAATTAGTATTTAACTGAGTGCCTCATATTGTACCTAACAATCCCGGCTGGGCTTCTTTCTCCAGCCCTCTTGATTGCCAGATGCACGACCACCAGCAGTCACCTCGGTCCCACTGACCATCCAGAATACTTATCTACTTTGCTGCATTCTTTCTTGTCCCCGCTGATCGAAATCGCTGGCAGGGAATCTCTCAAACAAACTCTGCTTGGAGCTGAATCAGCAATCAGAGACACATACCCGCTACTCTGGGGTCATTGTTTGGGAAAGGGTAGAAATCTAAAATCCCTAACTCAGTGTATGATGGAGCCAGGGAGTGCACAGTGCAGAGGGAGGCCTCTGGTTATCTCTAAAGCTGGCCCCAAGCTCCTCAGCTGGAACCAATGGCCTTTAGCATCTTGCTCATTTGTCCTTAATGTTGCCAGGGATAGATAAGCCGCAAAACACGTGTGCAGAAATGTTAAATTTGGGTCTCGGCAAGGTTGCTTTTCCAAGCTGGTCTTTTTGGATGATTTGTAAAGAATCTCCTTGATTTAAGTTCAAATCTCACAGTCGGAGATGCTCCCCTAATTAAAATAGATATCTATGAATAACACCGAAGATTGCAAAGTCATTAGGCGGAGAAAAAAAACTTGGGGTGATCAGGAAGTAGAATTCAACTGTCCATGCTGATTGTGGGGAGCAGTTGATGCTGATAACTGACAACTGCTTGGGCTAGGGGAACCTCTCATCCTGGAGGACCGCGGGCTTAACATGTAAACAAAACAGCCTATGCTGGAAATAACAAGGGCAGCAGGTTCCCCTAACAGGGTAGGTCGATCAAAGTGAGAGTGAGAATCTAAAATTTAGATTAAAAAAAAAAGAACAAAACACCCCTCCCCCGGTTTTCCTGTTCATCGCCGAGGTCACAGGATTGTTACAAATGACTTGTAATGAAGTCTAGAGCAAGCCAACAGTTCAAGCCTTTAAAAGGTTCCCGTGAAGACTCATCGACGCAATACAGAGAGCGCCAACAAGTCTTAACAAGTCCTTGGTGCCAGACAAAGAAATCCCACGTAAACTCAGGTGAGAAATGCACTTTCGGAACGCACCCCCTGGCCAGCCCGACATGACAGATGAAAAGAGGGGTGTCCGGGTGAAGGAAGCCGGCGGGTGGAGTTAACAGCTATAGATGAAGACTGAGCAAATCCACCCAGAATTAAAAGCTGCACCTGCGTCTCCAGGTATAAACCAGTTTTTTTTTGCTGGCTCCGAGCGACAATGTTGACAGCCCGACCGCAGCTCCCACCAACAAACCCCGTGCTTGCAAAAATAAATAAATAAAAACCCCAAACGGTGTAGCCCGCATTCCTGGTGGAAGCACAGCCGGATTAGCCGCCGGCGTGTGGGTCGCCAAACCGCCCTGGGAAGGACACGCGAGGCGGAAGTGCGGTTTCCTAGCCGGGGACGGGATCTGAGGGAGGCCGTAGCTCTTCCCCCCAAATCCTTCCTGGGCCGCGGGTGACCACGACCGGGCCGCCGCACGCGCTTCTCCCACGGCCTCCCGCGCAGGCCGGCTGCGGGCCCGGGGCGCTCGCCCCCACGAGGCGCGTCCCCAGGTCCCCGGGCCCACTCGCGGCTCCGGGCTCCGGGAGGCGGCCGCGGCCTGCGGGCGAGCGCCTGCTGCGGCCCGGCCTCCCCCGCTGCCGGCCTCCCGGCCCCGCTCACCTCTCCTTGGAGGAGTAGAGCTGCAGCTGCTGCTCGCGCTGCCTCTTCCGGGTGAACGCCATGGAGGCCCGGGCGCGCAGGCCGCCGAGCGTCCGAGCAGGTCCCGAGCGGCGCCGCCGGGCGGCCGAGAACCCCACGCTGCCAGCGCCCCCAGGGCCCCGCGGCGTCCCGACCGCGCTCAGCGCAGCATCCTGGCGTGGGGACTCGGGCGACGCGGTGACTCAGGCCCGGAGGAGGGGCGCGCGCTGACCTGGGGCCGCGGGAGCCGCGTCCTACCCTGTCCCGACCAACCTCTGCAGACCGTACACGTGAGAGAGCCTGCCCGGAGCACCCCCCACCCCGCCCCCAGGGGTGGGAGCAGGACGGCTCGTTAGTCGTGCCCTGCTGTTCTAAATTCAGTGATGGGAATCAGCAAGGGTTCTTCACCTGGTCCCAACCCTGATTTAGGATAAAGGAACACCAGGGCACAAGTCCCATACCCCCTAAGATAGGCAGCGGTCGACTGCCGTTCCGCCGAGACTCGAGACGAAGTGAATATTTGGACTTAGGAGCAGTGTGGTAGTCACTAAGCGTCGTGGCGTTATTGCGATCTGCAGAATCCAGAGTTCCCACAAAGTGTGTTCCTGAGGAGTTAAAGCAGTCTGCAGCACCGAAGAGAGAGATGTGGGAGAGGGACAGGGTAGTGGTTGTCATTGACTCAGAGCAATTTGCAGGCGGCAAGATAGGAGAATCTAATAAGGCAATGAGTGGGTGAAGCCACAAATGGTGTTTGTGAGTTTGACCCAGGAGGGACACACAACCAGCATTCTTCAAAGCAGTCAGGCAAGGCATTGGTCAATAGCGGATAGGCAGAGGTTAAGGTTTGAAACAAAAGATATGACAGGGAGGTGGGATCAGTATCATCAAAAAGAGGTGATATTAGTGCTGTAAGGATCATTGAGGAGCTCTGAAGCACTTCTGCTGTGTCTATACCTAAGCACGGAGAGTGGGCTGTATACCTTCTGTATTCTGAGCGTGCCTGATGGGCAGCTGTAATAGTGCTATAGTAAAGTTTACCAGTGACCCCTGTCTTCCACCTGGAGTGCCATGGGTCTTATAAACATCCCCCATTGTGCATAAAAGACAGAGTACCTTCCTGAATGTGCATTACATCTCTTACAGGACCAATAAGAGCAGCCTCCATAAGTTTCTGGTCAGCGTCGACAGTAATCTCTAGTTTGGTTGTCGAGGACAGAATAAGGGGCAGGTGTTTTAGAATGACTTAGGTGAAGAAGAGAGGGGGAAGAAAAATGAAACATTTTCTATCAACTCTAAATCAATTTCTTAGACCTTCAGAACTTTCATTTACATAACCTGCCCTTAGACCCTCAGACTTAATCTTCCGCATCCTCAGACAACACTTTCATAGACCTTCAGAACTTAGTTACCCTCAGTGTTTTCCACCTTCAGAACTTTCGTTTATATCACATTTTCTTACACCTTCAAAACTCACCTAAGCGTTCACATCCTCAGCCAACACCGTTTAGACCTTCAGAACTCCTCCTGGGGCTTACTTTAAGCACTCACATTCTTCTTTTTTTTTTTTTTTTTAGTGAGTTTTTATTTATTTATTTATTTATTTATTTATTTATTTATTATGTATACAGTATTCTCAGTATTCTGTCTGCATGTATTCCTACAGTCCAGAAGAGGGCGCCAGATCTCACTACAGATGGTTGTGAGCCACCATGTGGTTGCCGGGAATTGAACTCAGGACCTTTGGAAGAACAGGCAGTGCTCTTAACCTCTGAGCCATCTCTCCAGCCCAAGCACTCACATTCTTATGGCACTCTCCTGGACTCTTAAACAGCAGAAATTACCCTACAGGAATAGAGAAAACAGGCATAGGAAGTAAGCCCCAGTAAAGGAGCATGGATGAAGGAGTTACAGGTAACTGAAGCAGCCTTTGTCAGCCTGAATAGAGATTTCCTGATCTTTTTAGGACAGGCTGTTGGAGGTGAGGTTCTCTTGCTGATTTTCCTGATCCCCATGTCCTTAACCTGGCAAGAGGTGTTTTTGTCAAGGCTGATCCTCAACAAAAGGTGCCACAATGTGGGGGCAACAGATGAACCCAGAAAAGCACAGAAGTGTGGACAGGCATACAGGGGAGAGCATGAGGGACCCCGCTTGAAGAAAATTACACTGCAGGTGTAGAAGTGAGCAATGAGCACTCAGGAATAAATAATAGATAATTTAAAAAAAAGGAAAGAGAAAGGCAGGACAAAAGAAAGTCAGGAGTAAAACTGTAAATATTTATAAACATTTACAAACAAGGAAATCGTATTCAACTGTCTGTACAATTTCTTGAATATATTGGATATATTTTGATAGCTGGAGGAGCTGGAATGGAGCAGAAACAAAGGCAGAGATTTTTAGAGTTTGTAAATATTATATTCCCACTCCTGTGGTGGTGGCCGTATCCCCTGTCACCTTTGGGCCACTCTGGGACTTGGAGAGGCCAAAGTATGACCTTGTCTTTGCCCCTGATTAGCTGTAGTGCTGTGGTCATCCGGTCACAGCCACTGCTGCTGCTGAGCCAGTGGGAAGAGAGAAGAGAGCTCAGGGTGCTCAGAAATGGCCTCGGTTACCGCTGAGGCTGTGGCAGTTTATGCACACGCACCGTGGCCAGCTGAGTCTCACCTGTGTGGTGGAGTCAGGAAAGTTTGAAGGGCTAGACCTCCCACAGTCAGCACCTGTAGCCGGTCAATGCAAATACCTAGAGGCTAATTGATCCATAAGCCAAGAAGCCTATATGGATAAATCTATGGCTTTTAACAGAGGAGAGGATTCAGGAATTTTCCTAATTTTAAAATAAAAAAAAAACAGAGGTAATAAAGAAATTGGCATGGCTATACCTACCTAAACTTGTGGACACAGAAGTCTCAGAGCCACTGCAAGGGCAGGCACCTGAGAACCTCAGCTAAATTTGCTGGTGTATGGCAAGACCATTAAACATAGCCTGTACCCTGCCCAAAAACAGCAGGCAATGAAGTGTTGACAGAGGTTTTTGTCCCTCCCGGACCCACAGCCATTCAGTCCCAAAGAAATATACAGATGCCTACCTACATTAATTATAAACTGATTGGCCTATTAGCTCAGGCTTCTTAGCTAATTCTTACATCTTATGTTAGCCCATAATTCTTGTCTGTGTTAGCCATATGGCTTTGTACCTTTTATCAGTGAGACAGTCTTATCTTGCTTCCTCTGTGTCTGGATAACAAACGCAAACTGAGTCTTTCCTCTTCTCCAATTCTCCTTTTCTTGTTGCCCCACTTTTACTTCCTGCCTGGTCGCCTACAACAGTATTATGGCAAGACGGTCTACTTTTATGGCTACACTTTCCTGTTCAGCCCGTTAAGGTAGTAAATCCTTATTTTGAGGCAGTAGCTTGCTTAGCACAGAAGAGCAAGATGGAATCTAGAAGATATTTTGGCAGAGAACATGCTATAATCAATGTTCCTTATACTAATGTCCTTACCCTGGAAAGAGGTGTTTTTGTTGAGGTTGGTCCCTGACACTAAGGGAGGACCTAGATAGGGGAGGCTTCCCCAGCAAAAGTATTCCAGTCCTGCTCCTGCTCTGTTCCCTCCACTTCTGACTCCTCCAGCAAAGCTGTGACAACTTGGGGCTGCTAGGAGAAGGCTCCCCCAGCAAAAGTCCAGCTCTGCTCGGGTGAAAGGAGGTCTCACCCAAACCTCCAAGAGATTTACTGGGAGGGAGGAATTCAGGAGAGTGCCCACCTCTACCAGAGTGGAAGAAGAGCCACCAACTGAACAAGCTCAGGGTTTATATAGGCTTCTTATGGGGCGGAGTTTTCCCAGGGAGAAGAGGGATTGCTAAGTTTTTCCCTGCTCAGCTTTTTGGCTCTAGTTTGGGGCCAGGTAATATTTCTTTCACTGACTCTGATTCTAGGGACAAAGTGTGTTTCTTTGGCACTGGTTTCAGAGTCAAGGTGCATTTCTTTGGGTCTGGGCTCAGGGCTAAAGCATTTCTTTCACTAGCTCAGGTCTCTAGAACCAGTGTGGGTACCTTTTCACCAGCTCTGGTTTCAGAACAAGTGTGGGTTTCTTTGGCTGGCCCTTTTACCCTACAGACTTGAAATAACAATGTTTGGAATTTTCAACCCCAAATTTCAGTTAATGAAATAATTGATGGCATTTTTTTAAATATAATTTTTTTAATATAATTTTTTATGATGGCATTTTTTTTTAAAAAATAATAGCATTNTTATGATGGCATTTTTTTAAAAAAAAATAATAGCATTAATGAAGGACAACCCAAGTGCCAAGCAGCTCGCCCATTTTTTAGTGCAGCAGTCTATGGTTCTTAATGATATTCACAGAGAGGTGCAACCGTGACCACAATGCTAAGATATTTTCATAGACTCCAAAAGAAACCTTTTAGCAGTCACTACTCCTAGCTGCCTTGGCACAAACCTTTGCCTAGAAAACACTACTTAACTTTCTTTATGAATTTGCCTAGTCTGGACATTTCAAAAAAAAATATTGGGCCATACAATATGTGGTCTCTTTGTCTGATCTCTTTCATGTAGCATAATGCTCTCAAGGTTCATGAACTGTAGCATAAGCCAACATTGCGTTTCTTGTTCTCACTGAAGAGTATTCCATTATATTCCATACTTCATTTCCATTAATATATTCAGCAAGTGCTAGGCCTGTCAGAGTTTCCACCTCTGGGCTCTTAAGGACAATGCAGTTGTAAGCATTTGCGTACTCGTTTTTGTACTCACGTGCTTTCGTTTCTGTTGAGTGAAGCTGAAATCAAGGAGTGGAGTCGCTAGACTGTCTAATAACAACACTATCTCTGAACTTTGCAAAACCACCATACTGCTTTCAAAGTAGCTGCACCATTCCACTCCCACGAGCAGTGAAGAAAGTCTCCGACCTTCAGCGATACTTATTATCTTTTGTATAAATCTATCCTACCAAGTATGACTGGTATTTCGTGGGGGTTATGATTTCTCAATAACCGGGAGAATAAGTGGCAGATTGCTTACCTTTGAGGGACTCTCGGATAACAAGCCTGCAAATTGTGTGCATGTTGAAACACACCTTCCATTGTCTTAAGGACCAGATACTGCAGGGCTAAGTTCAAAAACAAAAACAAAAAAAACAAAGAAGACCCAAAGGGAATGTGGTGGAAGTAGCAGTGCACCTCGGCTGTCTTTAGCAGGTGTCAGGGTGTGAGCAGAAGCTGAGGGTAATACATGAAAAGGCCCGAGCGCCCTGTGTTGGTGCGTCTCTTCCTTGTATCCCAGTGCTGCACAGATCCTATGAGGGGAGGCACTGGCTTCATGGGGCCCTGGCATATTTGCACAGTGAAATAAGAGTATGAGAATTGCTGAGGTACCATGTGAGAAATTTCTGTGTGAGACATATCCCAGGAGCAGATGCTA